GCGAAAATTGAAAATATACCCTTTGGTTTTTTTTGTTTCTTATTACTATACGTTTTTATCTATTAACGTACTACATATAGGAAGAAAGCCCGGAACGCGCTGCATCTTTTCGTATATTTACATTGAACATCAAATGCAGCTTAAAGTATAAAAAGTGTATTAGAAAAAAAGTCACATATTTTCTTTTTTTACACATTTCGGGTGTCGATAATGTTGTAACGTTTTTCTTTTCGCATATATCTCAGCTTAGGTAAATGATAAAACCTTGCATTTCTTTTCAAAAGATGCGCCGTGAAAAGCTCTACAAAAGCTGTATGATCGAATTTCCTTTTACCTGTTCTAATGGTTTTTCTTATACTCAAAATGAACAACTTACATGCCGGTGTCGCCTTCCATCATTTCTGAAGATAGGTCGAGAACTTTTCTGATTGGCTATAGGATTTGATCTATACAAGTTTTGTAGAGCTTTCGATGGTACATATTTTCAAAAAAAATTCAATATTCCATCATTTTTCCAAGTCGAGATATATGCAGAACAAAAAAGTCTTCCAACATTTTCAGTATGATCGGAAGTGATTTCTGCCATGTAAGTTGTTCATTTTGAGTATAAGAAAAACCATTAGAACAGGTAAAAAGAAATTCGATCATACAGCTTTTGTAGAGCTTTTCACGATGCATCTTTTGGAAAAGAATTCAAAGTTTTATCATTTATCTAGGCCGAGATATATGCGAAATAAAAAATGTTACAACATGTAAAAAAAAACTGTAAAAATAAAACAAATACCACTTGTCTTTCTAATAGACTTTTTACATGTTAAACTGCATTTGATGTTCAATGTAAATATACGAAAAGATGCAGCGCGTTCCGGGCTTTCTTCCTATATGTAGTACGTTAATAGATAAAAACGTATAGTAATAAGAAACAAAAAAAACCAAAGGGTATATTTTCAATTTTCGTGGACTGTATTTTACAAGATGATAGAACCGATTTGAATCTTATTCAATTGGCACTTGAAAAATATTAGCTAATATAATTACATAGGATGTTGGTAATGAGGAAGGTATATTATTTATTATTCTTTATTGATTATTTTTTTTAATGCATTTGTTTGTTCTTTAAAACAATCAAATTTATCATAAGATATTACTGTTCAATTCGCATGTATGTTTATTGACTAGAAAAAATGAAAAATTTTGCTTTTTTTTCAGAATTATATATCATGAATAAGGATCATGTTCATGAAGTTCTTGAATTTATTGAAGTAAGATTATTTTTATGGTAGCTCAGAGTTTTTCTATTATTAAATATGAATGAGTAAAAAAATTACTGCGTGTTTTGAACAGATTGGTTGAGATAAACATAGATGAGGTGCTAATCAAAGATGTTCAATCATCCGACTAATAACGTCACGATAATCGCCAGATTGTATTACCTCTATGGTGGAGAGGTCCGAGGTGAAAATTTTTGAAAATTTACCGTCAGCAGATTTTGGGAGATTTTTTCCTATATCTCGAGAAAACGGCTGAAAATTTCAGAGTTTATAGAGCAGATATTGGCCCAAAAATTGGCTAAATTGAAATTATGAATACATGTAATCAAAATAATCAGTCAGTAGTTTTCAAAAAAAGCTCTTGATAAACTCCTATAGAGCTTTTGAAGTACTTTGATTCTCAGCTATATAGATACTTCCATCTACCCCTCTTCCTAACGGTGAAAACTGCAATTCAATAGCTATAAGCATTGCCGAGTTATTCAACAAACAACCGAGTCTATTCTATTTTGAAATGGACAATAGTTCATAGAATTGCGAGTTGTCACAGGTCTATACACGTTCTGCCTACACATTTTCTCTTTTTTTGATTGTGTATTTGCTGCTATCGTTTAGTGTTTGTTTCTTTGTGTACTGATATATTGTTTTAAAAAATAAATAATCTATTTTTATTGTTTACTCAATGAACTCCATCCATGACGCCCATGGTGGGGGTAAACTGAATTTCAAAAACCCAATCTCTCCATCGGTGGGGAAAATTGTTTTTATAAAAATTGACTTGTGAGGTACTCTACTCATGGGGCGACGAAAAATATCGCATGAACATCTCTGCTCTAGAATGTTGTTAAGAAGTGAACAGTTTTGATTGATGAATAGAAGACGATCATCTCCTTCTATATTCGCTATTGACTTAAGGCTATTTCAATGTTTTCTTCAAAGATCTACTAAATCGTTTATGTATCATGCTTACACTTACAACTATTCCTACTGATGTATTAGCTGAAGTGAGTTTAACTTTGTTATTTGAATCAATATATTTTTTTGAAATTTATAGACTATTAATGCAATTGGTGATGTTATTCGTGGTAATGCTAAAAATCAGCAATATCTTGATTTTGTAATGAATGGAAGTGCTGTAATTCAACAGTTAGTAAATTTTCAAATATTTTTAATTTTTTATATTAATTCAATCTTTTTTCTAGGCCTGTGTTATTCAGTCTGTTATATACAATGGTTGCTGGTGAAAAACAATCATTTCTACTTCGAATATCAATACTCTATTGTTTACAATGTTATTTATATAAAAATGATATTGGAAAATCAATGATTGTTCAAACATTTTCATCTCAAACAGAGAATGGTAATCATATTTCTCAAAAGAAAAAAAGAAACAATTTTTTTCATTTCATATAGCTGCCAATCAATATACTTTAACTCATTTATTAATAATTGGATATTTAAGTAAAGATATTGTTGCATCATGGTGTTCTGGTATTATACTTGCACATGTAATTGCTGATAATCAACAATTTAAAGAAGCAATACTTGAAGTTAACTTCGCAATTGATCAAGTCCAAACAAGTGCTAAAACATTAATGGAAATATCAATTGATTTATTACAAAATGTAAATTAAACAAAATCTTTTATTTTTGTAAATTGTATATAGGGCACTACAAAAGTTTTTTCGCTAGGTTCTCATAAGAGTTGTAATTTAAGTCAAACTATTCTCTTATAATGCTTAGACATATTTAGGATTATGTGCAAAATTTGAAACTTCTATGTCTTATAGATCGTTTTAATTTTATAATATGTTTCACATCGCTCCATCATTTTCATTATGACTTTTGAACTTTGTCGAGAGCAGTTTCGTACTATAATTTTGCATGATTGGAAAATTGACTTAAACAGAGATCGAAACAAGTCAAGCAAATTCGGAATCGACTCGACTTGACACGGCGCCAGACTCGTCTCGATTTGGTTTTGGTCTAAAATCAGTTCATCGAAATCTATTCATAGCACGGGTATGTGTAATGAACTGAAAGAGACTAACTGACTTGCAATGAATGAACCTTGTGTCATATCGACCAACCAAAGAATCAAAATAGCCTTTGACAAAAAACTTCTCAAAGATTTATCGAAGACTTTCCAAATTCCGAGTCCTTCGGGTCAAACTCGACTCGACTTGACTCGGTCTGAGTCGAGTCGCTGAGTATTCGTCTCGGTTTCGGTCTCTGTTAACAAACAAAGGAGGTCACGGCCGTTTGGTACAAGCATGAGAATGCTGGGCACACATCAATCCACTCATTTCAGTAATTTCGAATGGGTGACTTCAGCATCTTAAGGTATACCCCATCACGATTGTTTTCGAGCTGGTGTAGCCGAGGAAATTTTTAATGTTACTCCAGCAATAAGTGGAGATGATTTTTGCTGAGCATAGAAAATAATAGAAGATACTCTGGTCATCATTTCGTCAGCGGTTGTTTCGATGATTTTTGTATAAAGTTTTACAAAGTGTTGTACTTTATCAGTGCATTTTCAGCTTATTAATGACTGAAAGCAATTCCATACTCAACTGTGCCATTATTTTCTGAGAAGATTAGCAGAGATCAATATCCATCTTCTACTCTGCATTGCCAACAGTGGTATGTTACAGTTTTATCATAATGATAAATTTATAGTTCAGCAGTCGAGGGATACACGAGATTTATGCGCGTGACATTTGGGCGTCGACACTTGCGCGCACGAGGGTATGAGTGTTGGTGTGTGGCAGCTCCAACTCGACAGATCGCGAGAGCTGGGTCGAAGACGTGGTCATAGATTTCAGTTGACGAGAGCTGGAGATACTCAACAGCTGCAGCTCTCGTGAGCTGAAGCTCTTCACTAGTTCAACTCTCAGTAGTTGAAGCTGTCTACCAGTTCGGTTGCTAAGAGCAGAAGCTATCCACTGATTCCTCTCCGAGAAGCTGGAACTGCCCGCCAGCTCAGCTACTCAGAAATATCCTTCAAGACAGTACTGATGATTCTGCGAATGCTATTCGTATTGCTGAGGCTGCCACAACCATACCTTATGATGCTAAAATGGTGCCTGCTGATGCTAGAAGCGTTCCTGTGAATGCTAGAAACATGCCTGAGGTTGGTACTAGCTGCCGCAATCTTCTTTCAAGCGTTCGAGACTTGCTTTTCCCATAAGCAGACATTCTTCCAGCAAGTACAAGCCTGCCTCTAACATCGTCAGAGATGTTCCTATCATTTTCAGGTATGCTCTAACCATCCTCAGAAATGCTCCTAGCATCCTCAGCAATGCTCGTAGCGTCCTCAAACATGGTTCTAGTATCCCTAGAAATCCTGTTACTATCCTTAGGTATGCATCTAGCATCCGGAGGAATTGAAGTAGATTTCCAAGATTTGCTAGTAGTGTCATCAGGTTGATTGTCGGTAGCCATGATGTTGAACAGATCAAGCTACTTGTAGCAAAACTGGTGGAAAGCTGCAGCTTCTAGGAGCTGAGCTGTTCACCAGCTGCAGTTATCACATGCCTAATCCAGGTCATGCTAGCTGGAGCTGTTCACTAGCCCATCTACCAGGAACGAAAGACGTGTCATCAGCAACAAGAAGCAGTCTTGAGGAAGCTAATAGCATGCCTCAAGTTGCTAGAAGCATGGGTGTGGGTTAAATGTTTGAGATTGATAGTGGCATGCTCAAGTTTTGCTAGAAGCATGCCTCTAGCATTCAGTCACTAGCTTTTAGGGATCTCAGGCATTGATTTAGCAGTGTTAGGGATGGATCTAGCATCCGCAAGAATACTTCTAGTTATTGGTCACACCTCTTCATTTCTTAGTAGACGAGCTGGTGGACAACTCCAGCTCACCTGAGCTGGAGCTACGTACGAGCTCTTCGACCCAACTCTCGGGATCTGTAGAACTGAAATTGCCACATACTTACATCTGCACCCACGTGTGTGGTAACGTCGCACGCGATAATGTCGTGCGCGAAAATGTCTCGCGTGCAAATGTCGTGTCACGGCAGTCGAGCATCTGAGTATTGAATACTCATTTCATAGCTGATGAAGCTCACTGTAACCCATAGTCAGACAAGCAAATTATGTCCAATTTTCTTCACTCACTCTGGTTTAATCGAGTTCATGTTTCAATGACATTTGGAACTGATGTTTGTTTCTCAATAGCAGTCCAACGCAAGTCTCAAACTCAGTCAAGAGAGAAATAAAAGATCACTCTTTTAAGTCTTAGTTTTCCATATGAAGATGCGAGATTACGAAAAGTCTTAGATATCGGCAGATATTTGGCAGAACATCATATAGAAGTACATCCAAACTGACTGTGTTTTATAGATCTCATCATATATGACTCTTTTTTACTTTCAAAACCGAATATATGCATTAGATAAAACGTGATCTTACAACGACAAGTCAATTCTACATATCTCGAAAACAGCTATTATCCACTTCATAAAAGATACTTTCAGAAACCCCTTCATTGACTTTGTATAAATGAATGCGTAAGTACATTGTGCATTAGGGGTGATGCTTTGAAAAAGAAACTAGAACCAGCTTTCGAATGATTGTCCAAAGGGTGGGCAAAAAGCTTTTGTAGTGCCTCATGTATATTTCATGGTTTTTTCATTATCAATAGTCTTCATCTTCGTTTCATACTCGTATTGCTGTACTTATTTTTATATGTACATGGTTATCAAATTGTTCATTAGCGGTACAAACATTCCTTTCAATTGAAAATACCATTTTATATGTATATAAAATTTTTATAAAAAGAATTGTTTTGAAAAGTTTTTTTTCTTTTTTAAGCTTATTTCACAAATATGTGCTCAATCAATTGGAGATGATCGTGAAATTCTTATTCAATCATTATGTTCACTCGCATTAGGTTTATGTTTACTTTTCAATAATAATCAAATATCATCATATTCAACGTGAGAAAATTATTCTCTCAGAATATCTTTCAATTTTTCTCTGTTTCTAGTGAATCACTTGAGAGATTAATAAATGAACGTATTGATATTGATTTATTCCAAGAAAAACTTGCAATACTGTCAAAATCTGAATATTATGCAAAAGCTTTGCAAACACCACAACTGAAATTATCTAAATCAACTGATATGATACTTGATTATAAATTCGCTCGTTTATATAAAACTCTTGAAGGTTCAATAACACATATGTTAACAAGAAATTCAATAAGTTCAACAGATAGAACTCTTATTGATCCTATATCAACAAATCTTGATGAACAACAAACGTCAACAATGATGATACATAATGACTTAATTCGACAACAGGCTGAACAAATAAATGTATATAAACAAGAAGAAAAACAACTTATTCAAGAATCTGATATGTATGAAAAGAAAATTATAGATTTAGAAGAACAAATAGAAGAAATCAAGGATTGCCTTATCTAACATACCATCTAGACAACAGTAATTTTGAAATTTTAAACAGGAAAAAGTTTTCTTTTATATTTGCATTTTTATCCATCACCACTTGATTTCCATAATGTTAAGAAAAATATGTCAACAACAACGACTTGAATTAAAAAATTTACGAAATGTTGTTGTGTGTAAAATTTGAAATTCAATGTTTTCCTGTTTATTAATTTGATTTTTATTCACTTATTTCATATACACTCAACAGCAGTATTCGAATTTATTCTCACCGTAATGTGACGATTTGTATTTATAAAACAAGATCATACTGTTTTCAATATGTATCTTATTCTGATTCTTCTCTCTTCTCTTTTATTGTTTTTTACATCTTCTCTTATGTATGGCCGCCTTCTGCACATATATAGAGATGTGTATCCTATTTGTTGTTCTGTGCATGCAATTTGTAGTATGTTTTCATGAAAGAAAAATAAATGCAATTATGTAAATCATAACAATTGACGTAAGTAAAGTTGGCAATGGATTCACGTTTTTTGGGAAAGTATTCAGGTGTGGATGTGGGTGTGGGTGTGACTAAATGTTTGATTCTTGTCTTCATTCATACCCACACCCACCCTCAATTTTATCGCTCATTCGAGCCTTGTTCTATCGAATCCATCGATTTGTTTCTTGTGGTGGTTTGTGAATATTGGTATGTACGGTGGAGGAGCCATTCTTATGGCTTGGACTGCTTTTGAACGCATATTATCGTATTTCATGATCAATGGATTTCAACAAGAAAGAGACGGATCATAATACACTATTTTCCATTACTTTTTTTAATCCTATATATTTTTATTTATTATATTTATGCCATTTATTATTTTCCTTGTGAAAATACTTTCGATGACACATTGTCACTCGGCGGTGGATTCCCATGCTATGCATATGATTCGATCATGGGCATATGGAATTGGATTGTCAATATTGTATCACCAACATTTCTCGAAGCATTGCTGAGTTTGGTTTTCCTTTTTTCTAGTCCTCTGGCAGAAGCATTGTTCTCATTTATCAATCCAATGGCGCAAGCACCGCAAAATGACAATACAGTTCATGTCTCTATCTTCTCTTAACATGGCCTTCAACCTTCCACTCAGTATTATTAACATCGCTTACTTTTGTGGTTTATCAAATAATATTGGAGTCGAAGCGATCCAGTATTTCACATTTCTTTGTTATTTTGTCATTTTTCTCTTTCCTTTCATTTGTCTTGCATCGATAAGTGGTGTTAAGAAAAAATTTTTCGAAAGAATACTTCTTCGACGACGACTATTAATTCAACAATTTACGGTCACGGTCAAACCTGGAAATTGCAGTTTAAATACAACCATACGACATTGAATAAAACATTTTGAAACTATATCGATGTTGTCCTTTTAAAAATCAAACAATGTTGTGACTAGTGAGAAAAATCAATTCTTAAAAAAATAAATCCAATGTATTTCTGTTCTGTTGTATCGTGTTTAGGGGTGTCAGTTTCGGGTTCCGTTTCTGGGAACGGGAACTCAGTTGAAAATTCATTTCTATGCGTTTTTAAACACACTAGAGTTCATTGACATACTTTTTCTTTCGTTTTGAGACAAGTCTCTCTGGGTTCCTGGATTCCCAGGAACGGGAACCCGCACCGAGTTCCGGGTTCCCAGGAACGCGAACCCGCACTGGGTTTCGGGTTCCCAGGAATGAGAACCCAAACCGAGTTCCCCACAACTGGGAACTCTACCTAAATTTCTGTTGTGAACGATTTGCAACAGAAATACATTGGATTTAT